CTATATTCGGCACCGACCCAAAACGCCTAAATTAAAACGCCGATGAAATTTTTCACAGCATCTGTCGCACTATACCATGCCCTCTACCCCACGCTGAAAATAAATCGCCGCCGAAATGTCAATTTTTTTGTATATCTACAGTACCAGCATCCAAGGGCTAAAACCCATTTGCGGCCGCATTACATTTTCGGCCTGTACTGCTGCCACCTGTATACATGTACACTGTCAGACTGAACTTTGCAAAACAAAAATTGTCGGCCGCAACTAATTTCCGGTCAAATATGACCTGGCCGAAAATAGCCGAAAATGAACATGCACTGAACATCTGTTGATTTACAGTATGCAATTCTGCACTTTTGGTCAAGAGAAAGTGAATCTGTGGCCTGGGAAATTCCTAATTTAATTTCAGTTCGCCGCCGCCGTCGCCGTTCTCGTGCCAGAAACCTTCTCTGGGAGCTCCTGCATCCCCAAATAGTGGACAACGTAACTGCCAACCACCGATTCTGGTCCACCAATGTCGGCTGCCAAGGATTCTTTGAGAAAAGGGTGAAGGGCCGGTGGCTGGAAGTCATGCAAGCATTTGCAGGAGGCAGGGAAGCAGGATGACGCAGAGGACTACTTGGATAGGCAGTATGTTAAAACATTCCATGTGAGCAAACCTCTGTTTGATGCAATTTACACCGACACACATGCGCTCTGGGAGAAGTCGGACACTGCATTCCGTTGCGCCGTGAAGAGGCTTGCCATGTTATTGTATTGGCTGGCACATGCTACCACGCAGGACGAGCTCGCGAATCTCTTTGGCGTGGGACAGTCGACTGTACACGGGATTCTGCACGACGGCGTAGACACGTTGGCTCTCCATCTTGGCAAGAAGTCAATTGTTTTTCCGAAAGGAGAAGATCTGAAGCGGGTCATTAGCGGCTTCAAGAGCATCTGCAAGCTACCAATGTGCGCTGGCGCCATTGACGGCACATTTATGAAAATAATAAAGCCACCAGTATGGGGGTGACTCATACTGGTGCTACAAGTCGTATCCCGCAATCATTATTCTTGCTGTCGTGGATGCCGATGGCATATTCATGTATGTGGATGTTGGCCGAACAGGCTCGCTCGGCGATGTGTATACCTTCAATAACAGCAGTTTGAAAAGGAAGTTACAGACTGGATCGTGGTTGCAATCCACAACGAAACTGATTTCGGGCCACCGTATCAAGCCCTATTTACTGGCAGACTCTGCATTTGGAGCTTCGGAACACGTTGTCAAGGCTTATAAGCACCCACGTTCAACTCTGCTGTCAACAAAGGTCGCAAGGTGGTCGAGCAAGCATTTGGGAGACTTAAGGGTCGTTTTGTTGTCCTAACAAGAAGCGTTGTGAGAGACCCAGAGTTTGCTGCCCGCGTAGCTTTGCTGTGCTGTGCTTTGCACAATATGTGCACTGGTGGCAATGTTCCGGCAACCCTCTCTGCACAGAACCGCGTTCAACATCAGCAGTTAGTCCATGAGCTGGCTAATGTTGGGTTACGGGGCACTGTATTGCAGTGGTTTGCAGATTATCTGTCATGCCGCAGTCAACAATTCATAGTCAATGGCGAGCATGGTGAGACTGTGCCTTGTAGCAGGGGCGTCACGCAAGGGTCGGTCCTGCGTCCTCTGCTCTTTTGCATTTATATTCGCAAGGTGCCGGAAATTCTCAAGCACAGCATGTCACAACTCTATGCTGATGACATTGCCTTCTTCATCATCGGACTCGACCTTCCTGCTATGTTACAGGATCTCCAGGACGATCTAACTGCCCTGGAGGTCCATTTAGATCTGAAGGGGCTCATCATGAACCCCGACAAGATGCAATTTCTAATCCTGCAGCGGTCACGCCTGCCAGCAGCGCAGTTGCCACGGCCCTTGGCCTGTAAAGGAAAGGCTCTTACCCCTACGAGCACTGCCAAATACCTTGGTTTATTGATAGACGACCATCTCACCTTCCAGCCATAGGTCCAGAAATTGTGTAACTCAGTTTTTGCTAAAGTTGCTGCTTTCCGACATGGCCGTAGAAATTTAACAAATGATGCAAAGCGAACATTCTACTTGTCTATTATTCAGTCTACCCTAGACTATGCCAGTAATGCTTACCTACATTGTTTAAGCACAACTCTGTACAATAGGATTGTGACCGTTAGTCACATAGCAATGAAGAGAGTGTTTGGACTCGATCGTACCACGCCCACGGAACTAGTTCTTCGCTTATATCATCACCTCTATTCTTTGGAACAGCGTATTAGCCTCAAGCTCTATGTTTTTGTGTACCGCTGCTTGGCCCCTCATCTTGCTAGTCCTCTTCTTCAGTCTTTGTACCAGCTTCGGGCAACTGCACCTGGTCACCAGGCATGCACCCGGGGCAAGGCACAAAGAGCCTTAGTTCTCCCACTCGTTTATACGCAGTATGGCATGCGCTCTATTTCTTATCTGGCGGCAGGCAGATGGAACTCTCTTCCAGCTGACTGTCGACAGGCACACTCTCTTGCTCTGTTCATTAATATGGTTAAACTTCACCTAGGGTTCCCAGTAAAAAGGTAGTAGCCTGTTGGGACTCCCCTAGTAAAATACAGTCAGACCTCGCTCAACCGCACACATCTATTTTCCACAAAATATCCGGATAGGTGAGGGAACCGGATAACTGAACACACATACTGTATATGCATGTGGCATGTCAAAAGCAGTGACATCGTACATACATGTAGACGGGTCCTATGCAGTACAACTAGCGTGCACAGTATGTAAAACAAGCGAGAAAAATGACAAGTGCATGCAACTGAGTGCTGTCCACGTGCACCCAGCAGGTCAAGGACCTCATTTGCTTGTACAGCTCCCTGATTCTAGCTTCTGCAAGCCACATGCAACCGGATACGACGAAGCTTTTTGTACACATTTTAACCAGTTTGTACACAAATCATGCACCGGTATGCGGATCGCGAGGTCCAGTTATGTTGTATGCGTAACATTATGCTGCACATCGGTAACCAGAGATTTTCTTCCGGATGGTGAGGGATCCGGATAAACGAGGTCTGACTGTAATAAAAACTACTACTACTGCTACTACTACTACTACTACAGAAAATGCCGTCATCTTCAAAAAAGACTTGGCTGCTGCCTGGCGATGTTTGTCCCGTAGAGTCAGCATCTGCCCTTGTGCAGCTGACAACACATCATGCCACATTTGGATGAAGTGGGCTTCTTGTTCATCAGAGAACACTCGGAGAGGCATGGCGGAATCGTGGGAGAAATTTGAAAATGCAGACGCACGTACAAGGTTGCTTTGAAAAAGACAGGGAGAGGTAGGCCCGTTCATCCATTTTAGTTCAAAAACATGGTATACCCCGCCCCCCCCCCTCTCCTACCACGTCTACGTTTCCCGTTTCCTCGCCTCCCGTTTTCAGTCCGTATATGGATCATCATGGCAACCGACCAAAACCTCCTTACGTGGACGTAGACGCAGCACTTTGTACCGTGGTGTGATGACCGCCTAAGACATCACCGGAGAACAGGGTACGACATCACCAGAGCCATTTGCGTATCTCCCCAAGAGTACATACCCCCCCAGAGTGTGCAACGCCTGACCCAGCTCTGCATAGGGTCTTGGTCGAGCGTAATCGAATCTTCTGATGTCATGCGTACACTCCACACCAGCGCAAGACCGGTCTCGAGGCAGGGCACCGTTGTTTTTGATCCTAAAACACCTGCGATTCCCCGGGTTCCCCTCAGATGTGTACAGTATTATGATGCAAAGATCCGATTACGCTCGACCAAGACCCTATGCAGAGCTGGACCAGGCGCTGCACACTCTGGGGGGTTATGTACTCTTGATCTCCCCCAGCAGTGGTGTACAGTGTCAAATAAGAAAACTACAGCAATGCTACACGCGTACACATGCTCATTCATTACCTGCATGACAATCTTCCAGATGGTACAGGATGTGTCGCGTGATCCAGCGATCACATACACACCGGCTGAGTCTACGCATAGACATGTCACTAGATCTACAACAGAATAGATACACACACGTACACACACGCGCGCCTCGTACACACGCACACGCACACGCACACACACACACACACACACACACATGGACGCACGCACGCGCACACACACACACACACACAAACGCACACGCACACACACACACACACGAATGCACACACATGCACACCCACACACACACACACACACACACACACACACACACACACACACACACACACACACACACACATGCGAACGTACGCACAAATGGATGGAGGGAGATTATGTGATGGGAGGGGATTTAGAGACGGAGCGAAAGACAGACAGACAGGCAGGCAGGCAGGCAGACAGACAGACAGACAGACAGACAGACAGACAGACAGACAGACAGACAGACAGGAACGGGAGAGAGTGATGCTGAGAAAATGTGTGAGTCACTCAGTGAAATAGTCAGTGAGGGGGGGGGGCATAGAGGGGTGGCAGCAAAGTAGCTGCAACCGACTAGGGATGAGAAAGCACAGGCATTATACAATTTCCCATACATCCCATTGCGTTCACGTACCATAATGATGATAGATAGGTGTGGTGGTGCGTGGTCTACCCCTCACAACAGACACCACATGTATGCTGTTATCCCAGTGACCAGCCGTCAACAGCAAGCGACCGTCAGGAGAGTAGGCGAACAGATTGGCCGACAGGAGCAGTCCGGGCGCAAACGAATGGCTCAAACTCTGACGTGTACTGAAGACACATGCGCACACATGTGAGCACACACATGAGCACACACACATGCGCGCGCACACACACACACACACACACACACACACACACACACACACACGTACACACGTACACGTGCACACATATATACATACAGGTTACTAGTGCTGTTTGTTGGCAAGATACTGCACACGGGTGCTTGATCGCAATGATAAATAGTCATCACGGTACACTTCCAGCATGAAAAATAACCAGACCAGCTACACGACTTCAACGTTTCAAGTTCAAGTGACTGTCACTATTTTAATATTTTCAACCGCAACTTTAAGTCATGTTGCTGGTGCGGTTAAACGAGGTCAGCCAAAGACCAAAGGCCACATGTAGTGAGGAGTCCGGAAGACTTATTTCAGTCCACACACAAGCAAGAAAAGAGCCCGAAGGACACCCTGGAGGCGCTGGATGTCAATTACCTCTTCGAGACGAGAGTTGGATCAAAGTTGAACGTAAACGACTGTTGTTTGCTTGTGGAGTGAGGCAGCCAGCCGTGGAGACCCAGTAGACCGCTGCGACTGATTGAGATCTATACACACAAACAACGGTAACAGTAAACACGCACACACAAAGACACACACACACAATCACACACGCACACCATGGAAAAAGCTACAGCTCTTGTTCAAAGCTCAGGAGGAACAAAGCAGAAGGAAGTTCTTGTTCAAAGCAGAGGAGAAAGAAGCAGAAGGGAGTTTGGATAGATGACTTGACACACAATCAAAAAGACCAACTCCCCAACTGATCCTTAAACATGCATGTGACTCACGCACGCGCGCGCACGCACGCGCGCGCACGCACGCGCACGCACGCACGCGCGCGCACGCACGCGCGTGCACGCGCACACACACACACACACGCACACCAACAGGCTTCAAGATTCTCAGCTTACCAGCGTATCGGGCATGCCATGGTGGATGAAGGAGTGCGATTGCTGTGGTGGAATGGCTAACAGAATTACCTGATCATTTCCATCGTTGATCTAATGTGTATACACATGCACCAACGCACACGTGCACACACACACGTGCACACACACACATACACACACGTACACACACACACACACACACACAGACACACACACACACAGACACACACACATACACACACACACACACACACACACACACACACACACACACACACACACACACACACACGCACACACACCCTTTGTATGATATTGTCCGCTTTGTTTGCAAATATCCGTTTCTGGCTGTGCTGCCGCTCGCAAACTGCTCCAATTCGTATGTTCTTCTCCGTTATACAGACTTCTTCGCTCCCTGTTTCATTGCTTTCGTTTACAGGAGACCTGCGAGAGTATACGGTACATGTCTCTATTCGTCTCCAAGATGTACGTGATGTTTCCTTTCCGTTTCCTCGTCCTTATTTTTATTTTTTTACTCTGACACCAGCACTATTTCTGCATCGCGTACGGCTGGTGGAAATATTTACCCCAGCCGTCGTGGTGTAGAGCGCTTCCTTCTCTTTTCATTATTTTTAAATATAAAAGACAGTGGCAAGATAATTTGGCTGAGTTTACTATCATGACCGGAACACTACACTCATAGCCTCGGTTATCTGGACCCCGGAGATACGGGCACTTCGCTCTACCGGTCACCCTTTGGGCGAGTTTCAGTGGTAATATTACTACTCTTTTGGCACTTTTCGTGGAAATAGTGACTTCATATGCCATATTTGTGGCATTTCCCCATCAACATGCATGTGATTCGGAGTGAGGGACATTTCAAAGTTATGGACAGTGCTCGATACCGGACCGCCCAGATCAAGGAGGTCTGAGTGTATCACCAAGTCCCCGAGTGTAAAGACTCCGAGTGATGAGCTCGCTGAAGAGCCCAACACACTATTTAGAACAACTGCTGAGGGCTTAAAAAGTAAAAAGGACCAAGGAACTACAAGTTAAGCTATAATGAGCTGATTGTTTAGTAACTGGTGGTGTTAGTGGACATTATAGCGTAACTTGCCGTTCCTTGGTCCTTTTTATTTTTTAATAAACTACCGAGGGCTTCTGCCTTGACATTCACCGCGATCATTGCGCTCTGTGGCCCAATCACATACATACATACATACATACATACATACATACATACATACATACATACATACATACATACATACATACATACATACATACATACATACATAAGGCCAATGCTAGGCAAAAATGCTTTGCTTTACGGAAACGTATTTCATTGCGAAGACCTGCGCTTCGGTCCTCTGAGCTGTGCTGATGAGCTCTAACAGAGCGAAACAGTTGCTGTCCACAGACTTGAGTACATACATACACACATACATACATACATAACCCCGCTCTGTCTTAGGACATTGAGCACTTTTTTGCCGACGCAAGAAATACTTCTATTGTTCTACATACATACATACATACATACATACATACATACATACATACATACATACATACATACATACATACATACATACATACATACATACATACATACATACATACATACACTCACAGAGCGCAATGGTGCAGATGAATATCAATGTAGAAACTTTCAACGGCCGAATGCTGCAGCTGCTTACCCTCGGGTTACTGTAAGCAAGAGTAGATAAACAAGAGTGTGCAACTCCCGGATGGGTTGGCCCACGGCGGACTTTTTTGTTGACGTAATCTTTTCGACGATGCACGCGCTGCGAGTCCTTTGGAAAGTACTGCCTCGTGCACTTGGCCGGGCTTTACATTACGAAGTCGGTGCCCAGCACGTTCTCTCACACTGCTCTGGGGCAAAATGCGCGTTCTTCTGAAAAAAGGTGATGTCAACAAAAAAATTCCGCCGCAGGCGGGGGTATCTGCAGATCGTGCAGAAGAGATCCGGAGTTGCACACTCTTGTTTATCTACTCTTGCTGTAAGTCAACAAATATTTGGCGCACATATTTATTTTCGGCTATTTTCGGCCTGGTCATATTTGGCCGAAAATTAGTTGCGGCCGAAATTTCGTTTTGCAAGGTTCAGTGTGACAGTGTATACAGGCAGCAACAGTACAGGCCGAAAGTTGAATGCGGCCGAAAACGTGCTTTAGACCTGGGAGGCCGAAATTTGAATGGGCCGAAAATAAGTAGACTTACATACAGTAAAGGGGGAAAAAAATTTCACGGTTCGCGTCAGACTCGGTTTCTCTATATAGAGGCCGAGTTTTCCGCATCCGTAGGAACGCCACCACCCTTCAAGGATCAAGGGGAGTAAAGGGGAACCCCGGTCCAAATCACCCCCATCTTTTATTGCGGAATCCATTAGAGTAGGTCGTGAGTGGTAGAATGGCGAAAACCGGAAGCTTCTACAAGGATAAAAAAAATTCGACGGGTTCGCGTACCGGGCAGGTCAAGAACAAGGAGTCGTACAACTCCCTGGTCAAGAACCACCTTTCCGCTTCCGTGGGACGCCACCACCCCATGATCAGGCGTCAGGTGCGGCTCCTAAACGGATAACAAGGATAACATACCTAAAATAACCAGTATTGCAATTTACTGAATTTGGCAAGCCCCCCCCCCCCCCCGTGACGTAAAACGTTCTTACTGAGCTCAAAAAAATTAACTCAAACGGAACGGAAATTTTGAAACAGGTGTGCACTGTTTTTTTTTTCAGAGGCTCGGACACGAGCAAGTGATCTGCGGGAACGTCTGGCATCAGAGGAGCGATATGCTCTTGATCTTGCATCGGAGAAGGGTGCTTCTAACTGGCTCACTTGCCGCCCATCCAGAAGGCATGGCTTTGTTCTGTCAAAATGTGAGTTCCGTGATGGCCTATGCCTGCGGTATGGTTGGCGCCCATCTCGTCTTCCTGCCCAGTGTGTATGTGGAGCAGCATTCACTGTGACCCATAGCCTGTCTTGCCCGACTGGTGGATTTCCCTCAATTCGCCATAACGAGGTCCGTGACGTCACTGCCAGCCTCCTGAAGCGTGTTTGCACCAATGTCAGCGTGGAGCCACATCTCCAACCTATTACTGGAGAACGGTTTCGCCACAGAACGGCAATCACGGGTGAGGAGGCCCGCCTTGATGTCGCCGCTGATGGAGTCTGGGGTGGTCGTTTGGAACGCACCTTCGTTGATGTGAGGGTTTTCAACCCCTATGCAAGTGTTAGGTACCTCCTCCCGTACCTTTTCTAGCTGGCCTGCATGCACTCGCGTACTCACCTTTTGTCTCCTTTTTGTTCCGTTGGCCTGGGTAGCTACTTGCGCGCCCATAATTGCCATAGCTACCCAGGCCCTTTATCTTGCCGTTCAGACTTGCTCTCTTTCTGACTCTTCAATAATCACCATGTAGTCGTTTCGTTCGTCCTGGTCTTAGTCCCGTTGTAATGTCTGGATAATATGTCGTCAGTCGTCCTTTCTCGTATTCAACATTGGCGCCCAATGTGGGGCTCGAACCCACGACCCTGAGAATAAGAGTCTCATGCTCTACCGACTGAGGCCCTTGATAAGCTCTGGCTGGGGCATTTTCTCTCTGTCTTTCAATCGAACCTCTGAGACTTTCTTTCCACTGTTGTCGAATTGAGACTTGAACATCTTGAACCTCGTCCTTTTGTGATCGTGGCCGTTGCGTGAGATCTCCCGATCCTAACACAAGTACAAACTGATCCACTCCAGTCTCCAAAAGCTACATCCGGCATGAGAAGGAAAAGAGACACCACTATGAAGAAAGAGTTCGTGAAGTAGAGCATGCCTCCTTTGTGCCAGCAGTATTTTCGGCTACCGGTGGAATGGGCAAGTGCAGCATGGCCCTCTATAAGAGGATTGCTAGCCTAATTTCTAGCAAGTCTGCAGAGCCATACTCGACCATAATGGCATGGATCAGGTGTCGCCTCAGTTTTGCCCTCCTCAGGGCTAATGTCATCTGGCTCCGTGGTGCTCGCCGTCCCGTTTGTTGCGCGACTGTTAGTGAACATTCTGCTTCATTGGCAGTGGCAGAAGGTCACATTTTTGTCTAGAGGTCTATTCATGTACTTGCTATGATTCTTTTCTTTTCTCTGTTATTCTTTTTACCAGGCGTGGGCCATCCCCTGGACTATCAAAATGGGTGCCTTATTATTTTTCTGTTTTTAAGCTTGTTTTTTTACACTTCTTTGTGCGAGTTTCGTATCAGATTAAAAAAATGTACTGTTTTTTTTTCAATCAATAATCCTTGTACTAGTATTCATTCGACCATGATGTTGGAGGAAGAGGAGACCACGGGAGGTTTGGAGGTGGACGCCATCCCTGAATACGCCACTTCGGGTTCAGCAACTCTGACGCCTTTTAGGTTTAAGCCGAAGCTCGCACCAGCATCTGCGAGACCAAGTAATAATTTCTGAGATGACAGAGGAGGAGAGAGCTGTGGTTGCATGTGCTTGCGCAGGGAGCATTGCTTGGTGCCGTTGCGGACAATGCAGCCCGATGCGGAGCGAGGTCGAGATGGTTTGTTGCTGGGAGGTTCCTGCAGCTTTCAGTAAACGCGGCAACGCAGAAAGGGCTGCAGTGCGTCACGCGGCACTCAGGAGTTTGCTGTTGTTTGCCTGCGAAAATCAGTGCTCGAGGTGGCATTGCTTTCCTTTGAAGAATTTTGGGTAAGGTGTGGACCATGGTCAAACAGGTGAGGATTCACTGAATCAGTTTCATTCTCTTCGTTCTTTCCATGTTTCCTGTACCAGTACAACGTAGATAGGAAGAAGAGGCCAGTACAATTCAAGTACAGTGAAAAGTAAAGTGGAATTTCTAAAAAGTTGACACAAGTTGTCTGCCGCTGCTTTCAGTCAAATTCGGACAACGGCAGTTGACTTCAAAATGCCTCCCTCCATCTTGTCTGCCAAACTAGAGCAGAGGGTCACGGAAACTGGGGTGGAATTGCTGTCTTGCACAGACAAACAAATGGTGACAAGAGCTGGTAAAGAGCAAAGGGCCGTGGAAAAATTAAATGCGTACGCACGTAGCTGAAATTGGACATCCAACAAAATTTACCATCAAGGAGCTGGGGAACAAACTCGACACACGCAGGAAGAAAGGTCAGGCCAGACGTATGAGCAACGTTGATGATCCTACAAAGGTGAAGCCGATTAGTCGAAAAATATGTAATCTGTGCCTTGTTACTGTGTCGGTGGGTTTGCGTGCTTGCTTCAAGTCCACGTCGACGGGCTCGGAATGCTGCACTTTTGACACGAAATTGCAGGAGCAAGCTGAGGCGCATCAAGAGGGAATGCCGAAGAACGCACGTGAACATACGCAGTAGTTCAGCAAAGACAGCATGAAATTCCTTTCCTAAAACATGTAAGAAGGCAATTACCCATGATATGCTAAACACGCTTACCCTTTCCTAAGATCTCACAGACTCATAACATCCCTCCAACCCTGGAACCTTTGGATCTGTTGCATCTTTTTCATGAAATACTTCAGCAGATTCATATTCGCTACTTGCACTACACTCTCATTTATTTGCTTCCGTCTTCTCTTTGTGCCTTCCTCAGTAATACATTTTCTTCTTCCTTCACTAACATCTCTTTTCTGGAGGCGTCGGACACAGTCGTGCAACACAGGGGCCACAGGACACTGTGGAGCTCGCAGAGATTGGCCGCACACAGCATGGCACGCTTGGAAACTTCCCATTCCTCCATCATCGAAAACTCTACACGAACTACAAGTACAGTGTTGCTTAATGAGATCCAGTCGCGTCACTCAAGTTTGCGCATTGCACCATTTCCCCGCCCAGTGTTCGCAGGTCTAGCATTGCGCGACGCCCGGTGGCACGTACACGAGTGACGCTGCTGGATTTCATTGAGCAGCACTGTAGCTTGTTACCGTGATGTGCTCTGCATACGCGTGCATTCCGGCGTGTGAGTCGGTTTTCGTTTTTCTCGTGCATCACGGCAAGCTCTCGGCATCACATGCTTTACTTCCCGGCGGGATACACTGCCGTCGTGTAAATCGCCTCTAAAGGCTAGCTCAGCAGAAAAGAAGAGCTGGAATGCAAACCCCGCTAAATCCAATTCATCACTCTTAGGATAATGGCCAAAACAGGATTAATTTTATGTGCGTTTTTTGTATCTAGATCCACATTTGGGTTCCAGTTTTGAAACGGTTCTAGTCAGATTTTGAATGTGAAATTGTGCCTGCTGGTGCCTCTCGACCTTTTGATTACACTGAGCTGAAAATGACATACCTCTACAAAGCTGGCCTTGAGGGATCTGAAGTTGGTGAAGATGGACGGCATTTTGGCAGCCATGGCTCTGGCCTCCTGTTGTGTGTTGATTCGGCTGGAAGCTTCATGGCTAAGCCGACTGGGGTGAGGTTCCTGCGCACATAAACACACATAGACAGACGTAGACACACACAGACAGACATAGACAGACACACACACACACAAACACACACACACACGCATGCATGCAGGTTTGCACGTACGCATGCAGGTTTGCACGCTACATCGACTGGGTATGGTTTCAGCACATAGATAGACACAATCAGTAGACCGGCGTTACGGGGGATGAACATATTGGGCACAATTGACTACCACGGTCAGACAAGCCACACTCAGCCCACAGGGAACTAGTTAACACTTGCACAGCGCACTCGCTTCATGACTCGCGTAACTCATATACATAAGGTAAATAGTAAATACAGTTGTGCTTGGATTGACATCCTCAACTTGCAATGCCCTTGACCTGGCCCTGGAAATGGTACGAATGCTAC